AGTTATGTAACATGAAAGTAAATTTGTGCCTGATTGAAATAACTTCAGTCCTGTTGCTTTGCTATCAGTCCATGTACAGTTCATGTAACACAACTGCATGGCATGTTGTTGTTGCCGCGCTCAAGGTTCTAGGGAGTTAGTGCTCGAGCGCACGTAGAGGGTGGAAAAGGACAGAGACCCCCGCTCGCCTGTCTATTGTATACCGTAGTCAGGTAGTTCACGCTCGGGCCAATCTCGGGGGATGGCGCGATGACGAGGATTCGCTAGGGACCTTAGAGTGCGCTCGTGGAGGGGGCGGTTCTAGTGGGTTTTCAAAAGGGGGGCTGCGCAATGAGGAGGGTACCCTAGGACCATGCCAGGGGTGCGGTCGTCACAGGGGCGGTTCTTGCGATTCAAGGGATGGGCACGATGAGGAGGGGTGCGCTATGGGTACGCTCGGGTTGTGGTGGTCAAAGGGGCGGTTCTAGCGAGGTTTCAAAAAGAGGGGGGGGGCGATGAAGAGGGTACGCTAGGGGTACGCTAGGTTTGGTCGTCGGGGCTTTAGCGCGCTTTCAAAAAGGGGGGGGAGGGCAATGAGGAGGGTACGCGGGTAGCCTAGAGGTAGAAGGGGGGAGGTGCGATGAGGAGGGTACGCTGGGTAGCGCATTTTGGAATCAGGAGCTGCTGACGCTCATGGAATTTTGGAGGCAGGGTCGGCTGACGCTCATGATGCTGGGTCTTGGGGCTTTCTTGCACCGTTCAAAATGCGCTTCGGGACGGAGTAGCGCATTTTGGAGGCAGGACCGGCTGACGCTCACCATGCTGGGTCTTGGGGCCTTGTTGGGGGCTTCCTGGCAAGCTGTGTCCAAAATGCGCTCCGGGACGGGGTTGCTCATTTTGGAGGCAGGACGGGCTTGATGCTGGGTCTCCGGAGGGGCATCGCAGTAGGGATAAGGGGTGAGGCTGACGAGATCGCATCGGGTCCTCGTACGGTAGGTTTAACTTTCTGAGCCTCCGTCTGCAACCCATTCGGTCTTGATTGTGCTCCAGATTGTTTTTGGGTTCCTGGCTTGACCTTGTTTTGGTACTTTGCTTTTGCAGTTTTGGCCTATCATGTTTCGATTTCAACCTCCTTCCGACTCACCCATGTTGCTTGTCAATATCACATGTATACCGCTGTACAGGTGGAAGATGTTCGCAACATCCTGTTCCCTCAAGAAGAAGAAGTACTGGTCTACATTGGCGTGCCCCTCGCCATGTTTCCGCCTGAAGTACTACACGTTATTTCCGAGTTTCTGGTTCTTCCAACAATTCATGACATCATGCGAAGCTGCAGACAGCTTCGCACTACGCTCAGAGCAGACAGCTTCTGGCAGCACTTCTATGTGAAGGTCTTCCCAGCTGCAGTACGAGATCAGGTGGAGGAGTTTGCCGACTTGGGCGGCTGCAGCGTCTTGGACAAGGTTGCTGTCGCCACACTTCGTTTCTGCAACGCGTGTCATGCCCGCAGGCTTGTTCCCGGATTCTGTTCGTGTGGTGCAAGGCCGCGATTTAACAAGTTTGTCCACTTCGACATGCGTGCTGCTGAGAAACTTCGCCTTGGCTTACACACCTTGAACCTGCATTTGCTGGTGAAAGGGTTCGATTTACAAAACGCATGTCTCTGCTTCTCGTCACGCTACCATGGCAATTCTTTGGCCAGCTTGCTACGTCAGACAGCTGGGCTAGGGAGAATGCAGCTTCTAGCATGCGAAAGCCTTTCTGGAGAAGTCTTCGGGGCTTTCTTCGGCTTCCCCCTCCAGAGGCGCTCTGCGCGAGCTTATGGTGCTCGTGAGAAGCTCATGCTTTTCAATATTCGTTTGGATGGGACCCTGCGCGTCTTTGAAGCCAGTGACTGTGTTGAACGAGAGACTGTTCAGTCACTTCCCGATGCCTTGGTCATTGGGACATCATCAGAAGCAGCCCTATCGCTGAACTGGGACTTGAGCGTAGCCAGCTGTGCATCGACGACTCTCTGCTGCGGTTCTTGTTTGTGTGCGTCGGAGGCCCCTTTGAGATCTGTGGCGACATTTTCAGATAAGAGAACCGACCAAGTCTTGGATCGTCGCATCTCTCACTTGACGGCAGCCACAGTGGGAAGTGACCCGGAAGTACAGCGCAACATGGCCAGGCAGTTGCTTCAGCTGTCTGGACATCAGGACATGAGGCACTATTTCGGATAGAGATTACTAAGAGCAGCCTTGACTTGAGCATGTGTTACTCTCTTCTGAGAATGCTGGAGAGGCCATTCCTGTACATATTGCTGAATTCAGGCCATCTTAGCATACCTTTGGACCATTTACGCGCAAGGATCATCTGATTTGATCTCAAAGCTGTTCAGCCTGCGAAATCCATCTGCTGCCGGTAAAAAGCTTGGTGAGACCTGTCTGGACGTAGCTCCACTGTTGACCATGTCTCAATGCAGTTGCCACGTATGCAAGCTGGACGACATCCCTTGAGGCCGTGTGAGTGGCAAGGTGCTTGAAGAAGGCAACACTGCTCGACCCCCGGATCGCAGCAAGACGCAGCAAGCATCTCCGAGTTGTACCCTGCCAAAATGCGCCAAGCATGAGCAGGCCGATCTGCAGTGCACCACATCTGCAAACACAAACACAAACGGCGTGGACGTTGTGTGTCTCGGAAGAATTCTCCAGAGTCTGCTCAGAAATGAGTCTCGGTGTAATGTGGAACCAGGCTACAGGAGGGTCTCGTCAGCGTCACGGTGCTGGAAACTCAGCTATGCTGCGCTGTTTGACGTTCGTGCGTTCGATTAGATATCGTCAAGGTCAACTTGCAAAAACGGTGAAGATAGCCCGTATTCTGTCATGCAACGGCAGTCTCAGCCCCTCAGCCCTACGTCTTCAGGCAAGAGGCCCTCCCAGAGGTCGAAGCGCAGTGGTGCCTTGGAAAGTTGTTAATCATTCGAAGACATTTTGCTGTTGGAAATTGCTTTTCAGGCTGCAGGCCCTGATTGAAGAGCACATCAGGCGCAGGAAGTGACTGGCACCGCTTTGGTTAATGCGCCACCGGAGAATCAGATCTTTGGTGCTTTAGAAGGCTTCTAGAGGACCCTGAAACTCGAAACTGGCTGAGAAGATCTTGGCTGGATGAGCTTCAAAGGCGATGCCTTCCACTGGATAATCCCCTTATTGCGGAAGCCTGCATCATATCTATGTTTGATGTCGGCTGCTGCAGCTACAGTACGGTTGGAAAACCACCGCCGTTTGATTAATCTAGCGAACGATGAGAATTTGCAGTGAGCAGCTCGAAGCGGAAAACACGAGCTGCTTGAGCCACCGAATTGTGCGTCTCTGTTCTGCTTCGAGTCCCATGCTTGCTCGACGTGTCATGTCTTCTTGGTGCGGATTATCTCACGGTTTTCCCAAGTGAGGTTGCCCAGTTTGCATCAGATTGATTTCCTGTTTCAGCTCTTTTTATTGGCTCGACCTTTTGGCTAAGGTTGTGCAGGTTTCTTGTATTGACTGTAGCTGAAAGATTTCGCGCGTTGGCCAAATAATATCTCTACAAAGCAAGCGAGCAAGTAAGCGCTGCTGGCAACGATGCCTTCCTCAGTGTGATAGCCAAAAGCATGGGCCTGAACTGGCTGCATCCTTGAATGTCTCGAATGGCTTGCGTCTCCGACATTTTGCCTGCAGCGTCGCCTAGGTTGGTGTCAGTAGCGGCAAGGTGAAGATTCCTGCGATTTTGTTGTCTCCGAAGCTAGTAAAGATAAGCTTTCGAGGTATCCCGCATGGATTCATTCCATATATGATGCGAGCAGTACTCTGGCAGCGTTGTCCTGATAAAAAAACGTCTAGTGTCCAGGGCGCATGAGCTTTATTACAAAGCGCCCAGGCAGATGATTTCAAGAATGCATTTTTTGCGCAGAATCTTTGGTTAGGGCTGCATGTAGCCATAGACACAGACACAGCTTTCTAGTGCAGCAAAGACCTATGACCAAAGTCCGCAATGGCTGCGGACATTTGCGCATCTTAGCACAGCAGCGTGGGCCTTCACTGGGATTCCGCGCTGGTGTGCCATGCCGGCCATGCCCGCCGCGGAGGCCATCATGCACATAGCAATATAGCGCTCCCAGAATCTTGCGATCCCACGCTGTGAGAGGAGGCATCAAAGGAGCTCGAGGTTCCCTGTGGCAAGTGGGCAGGTGCCCTGCGTAATCAGCGTAATCTGTCTTGTCGGATTTATGCTGAAATGTAACGGCATGATTCAAGCAGGTCACGGAAAGACCATCACTATTTTCCGGCAAGGAGATGGCTGCTCGCTGAGGGTACCGGTATTGTGCTTAAAGGGAGCAGGTCCTTCATACTCCTGAGTGGATGGACAACTATCTGGAGTTGTCCATTGGAACATTTGCATGGGACTATGACCATGATCAGGAGACCATCTGCGCTTGCAGTTCGAGAGTGGGACTCCTTCCTTGCAGGCAAACTGTCCGGAAATGCTACCCAGCGCCCGAGTCGACTTGCCTTTTCCTGTTAGGTAACGCCAGCTGAGGCGACTGCAGCGGAGGCAAACTGCTGCTGTTCTGCGAAGTGATACGCTGACGTTGAAAGCACCATAGGTGTGGCCCAAGAAATGGTCTGCATCGGGATTGGATGACTTGAAGGAGAAGCGCGGCTGGCTTAGGGCTTCATGCCTACAAGGTGCATGACTCACTGACTGGGCTTGGCTCCTTCATTTATGCAGGAAGTGGAGTGCCACCTGGAGATGGAGTCGCTGAAGTCAGATCTGATAGTCAGGCATGTGCTTTGAATCGCCCTGTAGCAGTCTGCTCCCCTTCCGCATCCGTGTGCTATGAGGCAGAAAGACAACATCGATCGGTTCACTCGAGTTTCTGAAGCCGCGAGGTCCCGGCACGTTTAGCTTTTTTTTTTCGATCAGATAATTGAGATGGAGACGCAGCCTGGAAGCGGTTCAGGAGTTGGTCAACTTTCCGTGCAAGACGCGTAGTAAGATGCACAGCCTTGCACAGCTCTAGAAGTCGTTTGCTTGCGTACGGGGTACACTTGTTCAAAGACCTGTGGAAATTCATACACAGAGCTCCGGAAGTTGTCTGCAAGCAAACTGGGGGAACTCGAATGTTTATATGCAGCCATCAAGAAGGGAACGATCTCCAATCGTCCTCAAGGCAGCGGATCACCAATCACAGCATTGATCGTTGCTATGGCAAAGCCAAAGCGCAAGTCATTGAGCGATGGCAGCCGTTGACTAAAAGTTGCACGATGTTGCACGTTTAAAAGGACGAAAGCGCGTTCTGGCCTTGAGCTTCTTCGTAGCTGTTAGTGCAATAGCCAGGAATGGTTCTGCGAAGCCGCCGGAGCCGCTTGAGATCGAGGTGAATAAGTGTGAAAAGATTTCTGTGACAAATAGGAACATAACCGAACCCGGCCTGAAGCAGCTCGCAGCTCCTTTGCAGGTTTCGCCATCTTCTAAGTCATGCTCGGGATCGAGATCTCGCTCGTCTTCATCCAAAGGCTAGCGCCATCGGCGCCATTCCGCTTCAACTTCGCGATTTTGCTTATGTTTTCAGGACATACTCTTGTGTCGCTGATGCATGCTGTCAGGCAAAAAGAGCCAGGAGAATTGGATTTGCTCCGCACTAAGCTTTCAGTGCGTAGGTCCGGGCCTTGCTCTGTCACTCGTCTCAATTTTGTACTTTTAGGCAAACTTGTGCAGCAAGGCATTTGATTAGGGTCCAAATGACTTTTGAAGACAAGATGTGCGCGGTTTTTCTCGCTTTGCGTCCTGTGGCATGGCAACCATGCTTCATCCAATTTTGAAATGCTGTGGGCAGGGCAATGAAGGAGTGCTCGCGAAATGCGTAAATTTTCCCTGAATCTTGCTGGGGGCTTGCATCTGACTAGCTTGGGTGGAGCGCTGGGTAGCCTAAAACCCCCGACATACAAACTGCATCAGGTTGGGCAAGTGCTTTTGCAAGGGAAGGGGTACAACTGCTTGCTGGTCACTCAAAACTTGTAACCTTCTCAGCTTCAGTCGGAGGATGATGGCCTCTTGCCTTGCACATGCTTTGTTTGGGAATCCTGGGAGACTGCGCTTGGGAAATGATTGGCGTTTGCTATCGGAGGATATCCACTTGCAAGCACCTGTTGCATTGTGCCTGCTGACAGGTCCGGCCTGCAAGCAGGCCAACGCAGGTGCAAATCTTGTCTGCAGGTGCGTGATTCAAGAGACCCGCATCTGCTCACGGATCTTAAGGTTTTGAACTGCATCTCTATGCATGAACAGCACATGCGAGCCTGGCTCTGAAGACATCTGCACTCTATGCTGCCGTTTTGGCCGAACTGCATCACCGTTGGAGAACTTGAGCCTTCTACTGCCAGGCCCCAAGATGTGCCAAGTTAAATAATCCGCTGCGGACCGGGAACTATGTTTTCGTCTGCATGTTGCTTTCCCGGACCGCTGCAGCATCTGTCGTCCTACGCTGACTGCTGAGGCTTCGGACAAGCTCGCACAGCGGAAGTGTGACGCGCATGGCCTCTTGTGGATGAGCCTTTTCCAGGCTTTGGGTGAATGGAAATTGTGGGATTTGCTTGGAGTACAGTGGAAGGAGAATTCAACTGCAAAAGAACAGTTTCCTACATAGGTTTCCAACATGGATGTTCAGGGTGCAAAACTGCCACAAATCCATCCGAACGCAATATACAATACTGAAAAGTTAGCGACAAAGTCTGGCAGCATCGTTTAGCGCGGTGCCGGGATGAACTCTACAAAAGTGCAGAGCTGCACCCGAGGGTACAAAAATCAATGGCACCGTACTGGAATCAAAGATACAAGAGGCCTTAGCATGGGCCTTTGTAATGATAGATCCGAATACTGCTGCTGCCACCGCACATACAGACCTGTGCATCACAGCGCTTTGATAGCCCTGGTATGGTTCGTCATCCATTCGTAAACCCACCGTCGGCGATGCATACCTAACATTGGACCACGTTGGGACGCAATGCAACCGCAGGCTTGTAGCTCCTGCAGCCTATGAACTGAAATCCTGTCATTGACTCCGATGTTTGGCCCTCCAGCAAGCAACAGAGGAAGCATCCATTCAATCACTTCCTCGTCGCGGTCTGCCTGTAGAAGGATACACGGTAGAAGAAGGCCGTAGGCGGCAGTCCCAGCATTTGGAGTCAGGCGCGGGAGTGGTGGAGCACCCAAGTCAGCGAAGATGAGGAGCAGATGCCTCAAAGTCGATTGAAGTTTTTGATGAAAATATTGGCTAAGCTTTGCAGCTTCGTTTTTTTCCACAGAAGCAGGTTTGACACTGGCTGCCTATGCTTGGCCAACATTGATAATGAGCCAGTGACCTAAAAAAGCGCCAATGCATGGCTCCTGGCAAGTGCTCCGAGCCTTTATCGCGCGACTTCGATCTTTGGCAGGCCAGGTGGCGCAAACAAGATCATCACCGGAAGTTACCAGGGAATGCTTCGAATGTGAGCCAACTTGGCAAGTACACTAGGCACCTTTTTTTCTCTCATGATCGTCAGGTACTACCCAAAGCAGAAGGAGTACAAAATCGAGGACCTCATCCTGGAGAATAACATGGAGGCATTGGGTGGGTGTTTCAGGCTATGCTTGGAAGTGACTGTCGTTTGTTATCTATGGTCAAGGCACCGATCCTGCAGATAGAAGCCGGTAGATTTGTGCAGGGCAGCAGGGGTCCAAGCAATTTGCAAATTGCGCTGGACCGCATGAGATTCAGCAATGCTCAGGTCGTGAAATTTGTATGGCTTTACTGCACCCGATGAAGCTGTCCGTGTACATGGTGTAGGTGCCTGAGCTTTCGACTTTTGAGGATTGAGTCAGGTACCTAGTCTTTACCGAACAAGATCTGTTCTACTCAGAAATGCAGGAGGAGTTTTCGCATTGGGCATAGTTGGCAGAGCTTGCCGAAGCAGATGTTGAACAAAGTGGGGACGGACAATTCACCTGGGGTGCGGTGCCACAGAGCAAAACGTCGGCGGTGCACCTGCACATTCTCGACGTCGCTATAGCATACTCATGGGAGGAGGAGTCATGGTGGAGGAGTTGCTTGTTCGTACTGAAAACCACACACTGCGCCCTGAGGACAAGCACAGTTGCAGCGGAAAATCATGTCACTTTAGGAATTCGGATAGCCCGATTCAGCCTCCGCTGCAGGTTGATAAAGTGTTTTGAAGCGTGCAGCATTACAGATTCACGTCTCGGATGATCGCATGCAGCTGTTGTAGAATGCCCTGCCAACCACTCCCGCCCGTCACGAACACACGAAGCTCGACAGTGACTGGTTAGTTGCAGAGACCCTGTAGTGGCCTTTTACAGGTAAGTTCTAATTTCAGTGTCATCTACCTTTTACTGGGCTGTTGCTGTGGTAAGCTTGAGGGCTCCGCAGGCCAGAGCTTTGTTGTAGCTGAGGTCAGCTGTTTCGTCTGGAGGATCGGTGAATTACTATTCCATGGCCCTGGCCTATGAGCACAAACTTTCAAGGCCCGTCATCACTGCGTAAGATGCCTGATGGGAGTGATGCTAAAGCAAGATCATACCTTGAAAATCAAATGCAATAATTGCATCTGCTGGCTTTGTCGCTGATGTCTAATTCTTGATAGCTAGCTGCAGGCCTGCCTTCAACATGTGTTATGGATGTTTTGGCGCGCAGCCCAGTCTGAGCGGTGCAATTCGATCTCGTGTTGACAGCAACAGACTTTTGCCATTGACCCTGCGCCCGCGAACGTTGCTAAAAAGCTGTTCTGATGCTACGTCAATCATATGCCATCAGCATGCCTCGGCATCTAGCTGAGGTGGAGTCAGAGATCGTGATTATTTCTGCGTGCAGCTGGGCACTTGGGTCCCTGTTCTCGTCTCGTAGTCTTTCAAAAGTGCAACAACATGTGAGTGCACTCCAGGTCGCTGGATGGTGTCCTCTCTTTTTTCGAGCAGGCCAGTGAAGACTGATATGTCAAGATGCGCGCATGGAGCCGGCTATCTGTCAGGAATCCTTCGCGTTCAGCCGGATGTTAACGACCAGTTTTCTGCTGCGCCCCAAGTGAGGGCCATAAATTTCTGGCAGTGTGTAGCAAAGCTTTGCCTCAGGGTACCTGGCCCCATCTGCTATGTGCCAAAGATCGACAGCTTTGTCATATGCATCTCGACTGTCGACTGACTACCTGAGATGGAATAAGTTGTTGGTTCACCAAGCGCATCTTTTCGTTTTTGAACGGCTGCGAGGCACCAATGCAATGTGTATAGAGGCCTATCGGTATCAGGCACAGCTGATGCGGCATGGGCGTGGTCTTCCAGACTGCCAGACTTGCCTGTCAGGTTCTTGCAGCCGCAGCAGATAATGTCGACCAATCGGCAGGCAAGTAGCAAGAGAATGGAAATGGCTCCGTCATGTGTGCTGCTGGGGGTTTTGCATTCCTGGCATACGCGAGAAACGAAAAGTTGTTGGAGAATGGCATTCGCTTTGCACTGCCCCTTTGGAATGGCCAGAATGGGATGTTGATTGCACTGGGGGCCAAAACCATACAGCATACTGCTATCAATCTTCTTAGAAGATCCAAAGATGAACATGTTAGGAATGCCCTTCAAGCAGGGAAGGGCATGTGGCGAATAAGCAGTGTTGAAGACTTCAGGCGCAGTGGCTGCACGGTGGGGGGCTGTGAAAGGCTGTATCAGCTGGAGCCGTGTGGCTTTAGCTTGATCGAAAGCAGTTCTGCTCGCTCAAAACAATCAAGAAGGGATGTCGAGACACACCTGGATACCCAAACAGCGCAGAGGAAGGGGGAAATTAGGGATTCGCTCTGGACGCCTTATGGCTAGGAACTGAGGCGAATCTGCACTAGGCGTTTTCACAAGCATGATGCTGGCTGAGAATAATGTATGATGCATGGCAGTGCAGTACAGAGGTTCGTCATATCTTCTGTGATGCTTTTGGATGATCATGCAACCGCTTGACAGGAGAAGGTGCCTCCGGGAAGAAGGTCCAGGCACAACCTTTTGATTCTTAGCATGCTAAAAGCAGTGTAGGTGCTGCCCATGTTTGCATCTTGCCCCACAAAACTGAGACCCCTCCGTTGTGCAAGATGGAAGCAGAAATCTTCATGCGGCTCCGAACTCCCTCTTCGCCAGAACTTGTGAACCCGGCAGATCCAAAATAGCGTCGCCTATGACATCGGCTGACAATGACATGTAAACAATCGTGCGTGTTCCTTCGCTAACGGCGATGCTTGACATTGAAAAGCTACATCTGCCATCTGATCATACACACGTGAAAGGCTTGATTGCTGGGTGTCGACTCATTGTTTTCGTTCAAGCGCTTCAGATAATCTCAAGCTAAAGCATGGACCCTGCAATTCTGGGTGTACAAAGTCGTCTGGAGTGTGGGAACTTGGTTTTACTTGGACAGCAGGCTGCAAAGAATTCGTGCCAGTCAGTTTGATAATTGTGACTCATGTTGTTCCATGGGTCTGGGGCGGGGTTTTCCAGCAGTTGAATGCCTTCATGTGACGGACGGCTCGCTGTTAGTCCTGGTATATGTTAATCCGCGCTGTGGAAGAGTTCTCTGCACACCTCTCACTGCATGGTTTCAAGGAAGAAGGGGCTGCTTGCAATGAATAACTAGACTTACCTTGAAAGCCATTGTCGGTAAGAGTTTTGCGTGGATCTGCTTGTCGCCTGCGAAAGCTGCAAATGTGGAAGGTCGACTGGTCCACCAATATCGGTGAACATGCCAAAAGCCCAGATGCATGCATACCACACTGCCAGATTATTGTTGAGTGATATCAATATCAAGAATTGCTGATGAGGCACGAAGCATCGAGGTGGTACGCTTTAGTCGATCACTCTCAGCAAGCCAGCAGGCCCTTGCGCTCGCTTTCTTGCATCCAGCATGGGTTTTGCAACATGTAACAGATCGACATTCCGTCAGAATTGACCAATGAAGCTGCCAGGAAATACTGGTGGTTGGTGAGCAGACCATCTTCACCCTGAAGGACAGTTGAAGATGGGTCAGAGTTACAAGGCTGGTCACTGAATGGACATCTTACTTAGGAGGTAAGCACATGTAGTGTATGGCCTTCCATTGCATGCGAAGCCTCTCCTGGCTGACGAGCCGCATAATCTGAAAGTGGCGAGCGATGATGCTCCAGACATTCCACGAAAATCAAGTCACGGACATATGTGCCTGTTGACCCTTATGCGAAGCCGATCCGAGGACAGCGGTGGCATCCGACTCCAAAAGCGGTTGGCAGAGTATGGAATAAGTTCGGAACTTACAATGTGTGATACAAGGTCGATGCTTCTTGTGATGATCATGCGGTCCTTGCCTTTGCATATTTGACTTAGCCGCCTCCCTCGCTTACAAGATGCCGCCCGAGTCACCCGACGCCAGTACCTCATGATGCTAAGCTGTGAGCTGACATGCCAGATGCGAAGCTGAGTCAAAGTCGATTCACAAGATTCCAAGTCGAGACAGGCATTGCCAAATCACAACCTGATCTTGGGAACAAGCACAGGTGGACTGCTCAGTCACTGTCCACCCAGCATTCGCAAGCATGTGCTCCCTTGACTTTCAGTGCCATCGTATCCACGCACCATGCAGATCGATAGCATAATAAGAGGCTTTAAAGCTTGCTGCTTGAGAGACCGCACATTAAACTACTCCTAAAAAGACTCCATGTATGCGCTGCATATTAAGGGCCTTAGGGAGGCGCAGCCTCCCTGAGCAGGCGAGCACTGAGCATACAGTAATACAGTATACACAAATGTGTGTTGGCACGAGCCTGTTATCCTACCTTGAGTCCGCTTGGGGCCCTTTGCAAAGCGAGACTGCGACCAAGCGGAGTCTGCTGCGTCTGCGCAGCAGCTTAGCAAAAGCAAAAGTGAGAGTAGACATCAGTAGACGAGGTCTGGTGTTGCAGCCCCCCCGGGTCTAATCTGACGAAGAATGCGAGCAACCGAGACCATCAGAGACCTAAAGATGCTGATGAGCCTCCGTTTGCGTTTTGTCGGGTCCTGCTGGGTCCTACGTTCCGGAGCGTTGCTTTGGGTTGTCCTTGCTGAAATTGGTGGTGCTCAGGGAACCAAGTTCGATATTCCAATGTGGGTTCCACCACAGGCAGGCTCCTGTAGCCAGACCGTGCGGGGGTCTGGTCAGCAGGACTGCTAACCAACCAGCAATGTTTAGGGGCCGATTCTTTACGTGGCAGCAGAACAAGGAATCTCTACAGTCTTTGCCACAGCATTGGCATGAGACTGGCGACTACAGTGTGAGCTCAGAGCCATGCCACGATTGATTGAGGTCATTGCCTAGTGCTGAAGGAGATGCAGCTTGTTTGGTGTGCCCGCCTGCAGGGCATGGCCGCAGCCCCAAAGGCTGTGCTTGAAAGCTTGATGGGTTGAGCATGCTACTCAGCCTCTTCAGTCTCTTAGGTCCCGGCGCAAATTTGCGTGGACACCATTGGCGGCGTGCGAGGCGCATGTTGTCTCGCCTTATCTGCTCCTCTCGTGACACCCAAGACCCAGGTATGGTGGTGCTGATGGATGGCAGGGGCAAGCTTCAAATTTGCTACTTGGGCACAGGCCTTAGTTCACATGAATGACTTTCCAGGAGATGACATTGATATCCGCTGTTCTCCATCCATGCAGTGAGTTCGGGGCCAGCGCTCCAATTGCCACGCAAGGCACAGATCCACCCACGGCGAGCTTGGTAAACACGGAAATGAAGGTGCCGACTTGTCAAGCTGTCAAGGTAGCACAGCGTGCCTTCGGCAAGCCTGGACATGTTCAGGAGTTGAATTACGATGAGATGGAGGAAGAACATCAGGACAGGCCAGGAATTAGAAAAGGTATACAACCCCGGGCAAGGCCTGGGACCAATAGTAGCCCCAGCACGCATCTGCCTCTTGGCGTATGTAACCCCGGATCTAGCCCCACTGGGGCTCATTGTGGGAAGCAGGTGCTGTAGAGATGCCCCGTGCTTGGAAGCCACCTCGTTCAGGAGCTGCTGCGTGTCATTAGGCGCAGGGCCCAAGCTGTGGCACATTGTGGCATTAGATCTGTTCCCAATATGTCGACTTTCTGAGTGGAGCAAAGGATGTAATGTGCTTGTTCTTGCTCCTGTCTTTCTCCATGTGTTTTGGGTACTTTGTGGAGGCAAACCCATGGCGATGGCGCTGCAGAGCCAGAAGAGACCCTTGTGGTAGACTCGCAGGTCGACTTAGCAGTGCTTTGCAAAACAAGATCGTTTGTGCAAAGCCAGCGTTCCAAGTGCAGGTTCCTCAGGTCCTTGATTTGGGAATGAATGAGGATGACTGTGACGCGGAATCCTGGCTGATGGAAGTCGAAACACACCAGTCCTTCGCGCGCTGCATTAGCTGCGCATGTGTCAAGGATGACCCTGTGGGACGTTCGGATGGTTGGGCACCTCATCTTCCCTCCGCACGTAGAACGTCAGAGATGGTACTGACCTGGACAATCCTCAGGAATGGTGATGCAGCTAACGGTGCATCTGTCTGTCACCGTGGGTGGCAGCAAGGCCGTGGAAAATGTGGTGAACTTGGCTAGCCCAGCGATCTCAATACTGCAAGCATGCTGAAGGGTCTTGAGGGGCATCTGTTCATGCAGCAATTGCCAAGCACCTGTCGGCAAGGTCTCCATCACCTTGAAGGCAGGCACTGGGTTGGACTGTGCTTCAGAGACCAAAGGCATCAGCCGATAGGACAAACCTGAATGCTTTACAGGCCCCACAGTGCTTTGCTCTCTCGCAAACATCGATCTTCATAGACAAGGTGCGGCTTGCGCGTCGATTTAGATTGTTGTCAACCAGCTAAGGTTGCAGTAGTTCTGTGCCATCTTCACGTGTTTCTTTCACCTCCCAGCATTTTGCAGGTGACAAGCTGCAAGTGCATTTGCTTGGACGCTTAGAACAGGTCGAGCCTGGACGACCGCCGGTCATTATTCCCATAGTCTTTCGCGTGCAAAGGCCTGAGGTCAGCATACCAGGAAACGCAAGAAATGTCTTCCACGTTAGTTGTGTATACACAGTCGACTTCACCGTGCTTCGCGACTGAGGTGGAACAAGATTCTGTGTTCCAACTTGGAAGTTGCAGTTTGTGCATCGTGCCCCCTGTCGGTTTTGATGCGAGAGCAACTCACAGCCATCTCAGCGTATTTTGCGTTCGTCTAAGCGTCACAGCAGTGGCACTGCAGTTGTCCTGCAATGTTGCAAGGTACTTCTCATTGAACAACGAGCCTCGCACTGCTGCGTCTTCTTTCTTTTTGCCATTTGCGTTGGTGGACCTTGCCCAAGTGCATCGTATTGAGCAGCGGTGCCCAACCAACATAACGCAAGATGCACCTTCTGGAGGCCAGACCCATACCGCCCGTCAAGAATGCCAAGCACAAGATTCAGCTGGACTGCAACAAGCAGAGCACTCAGACAATGTCTTCAAGAGAGATCAGCCAATGCAATAGTAGCATGTGTTGCAGAGGCAGCCCCCGCAGTTGCAAACGTTGTTTGGTGGCTTGCTGAACCAGCCGCACGTGCATGCAGCTGAGTGCGATGGAACTGGTGCATAGCTTTAGGGACTCTTTCTCCAGCAATTCCAAGGTCGGCTGCTGTGAGCCAGGGCATGTCGAACACTTAACACTTAACCCAAAGGGTCACCTGAGGTCACTGGTCTGCGTTGCTCATGGGTTTCGCTGCGAGGTCTAATCTGCTCTCCATTCAGTACGTGTCCGGAACGGAAGCAACAGTTCTGGTGCAGGAGACCTACGGTGCAATTCAAATTCGGAGAAGTTGTTGTGTCGCCAGCAGGCAAGGCTTTTTCCTCCACGCGCTTGCAAATAAGGTTGAAGAGCAGTGGACGCTTTTGTGTACAAGCAACAGAATTCGCCGCTCTGTGGGTGTTAACACAGGCACGTGCAGAACTTTTCTGCAACTTGTCTCTGTCAGCAGTTCCCGAAAAAATTAGAGGTTCTTCTGTATCCCCGCTGAAAATATTAGAAGAGAGTATACCTGGGTCTGACAGGCCTTCAAGTAAAGTGCAAGTACCCCAAAACCCCCGCAGCTCTAAGAAGAATACAGAGGCGCTCTAAACCTGAGAGGATCTGAGCATCGCTGGCTTGATGCCAGTGAGAAATTATGAGGGGCGACAGCTTCACTTGCCAGGAGCTTTGCAACAGGCTCCACGAGTATTTCGGTCCTGGAGGTGAAGGCGGCTCTTGGGGCTCTTGGATAAGCTTCAAAAAGTGTTGTTTTGTTGTTGATTTGGTTTTCATAGGTGCTGCCGCAGACGACGAGGCCAGCACCTTCAGAACTTCAGCACCTTGCCTGTTGCTTGTGATTGCTTGTGGATGCCCGTGAACGCTCTGATGTTTTTGAGTGTGAAGGAGCCCTTTTTCATCACCTTCCAGGATAGCTTACCTTTGCAGCTTGTTCTGCCTTCTTGAGTACTTGGATTGGCTTCCGGCATCGAACTTGTAAGCCTAGAAGACTCAGGCATGATTATTTCGCACTGATTGATGACCATTTCGATCTGCGACGGCACCTGGACGAGCTGCGAAAGGCGAGGGACTTAGGGGGGGCGTATTGCCAGGACAGGACTCTCGAAACGCGGCTTCAATGATTTCCTCAATTCCAAACTCCCGCGCCTTTTCAGAACTCACAATGCTGGCAAGGCAGAAGCAGTCCAACAGTTTCAATAGTACAGTACAGTACAGTACAGTACAGTACAACCATACCAGAGCGAGAGGTGCTGCAGATAGATCCCAATTACTTGGCGAGCGTTTTCTCCCAAGGACCTAGCAGACCGAACGCAGCAGTACCGTGTCATCCAGAAGCGATTGCTGCAAGCTTGGGAGATTTGGGCTTTGAGCTTGTTGTCACACGCCCCACGCCATGTCACGCCAAGGCTAGTGCGCTTCAAGGATCGGAACCCATCACCGCTGAATCATCTTGACACTCTGATGGGGTCTCAGCATTCCTCTAGTGGAAGGTCCATGAAGAGCTACTAACAGGGAACCACACAGGCTAAACTTGACATTCGAGCAGACGCTGCTGCTCACAGATGCGATTGACGACGTGGAGCAAGCTCTGCGAACGGCAAGCCTTCCCTTTTCTGTTGGGAATTGTGAGGGCCGCTCTAGACCCATGCGCAGGTCTCCTGCCATCTGTCGGCTGCCACTGAGCCGGAAGCCTGGGCATGTTGCACGCTGGCGTCATATTCCTCTGCAGATGTCTAAAATCCTAAGTGAGAACAACTACTTGCCTGGCCTTGCTTTTCACAGAAGACTGGGATCCTCCGAAAGGGTTCCCCACGATGAATGTCTTCCACTGTAGAAAACAGTAAGAACACAGCCAAGTATTGCTCAAATTAAAGACATACACGAGGGTCCAAGAATTTGCTAGGCCAAATCAAAAAGTTAAGAGAACATCGAACACAGAAAGTTATCCACAGTTTCTGGCCATCTTGCTCAGGCTAGTACTGCTGCTGATCAAGTTTAGATTCGGGCTGGACGAGGACAATTCCAATGTGCTCAGGAGGCGACATTACGGAAGGTGCGGGCAGTTGGTGTTTTTTCTTGCGCGCGAGGCATTTAAGTCCAGAAGTCTGCGACACGACTGAGCAAGGCTGGGAGGAGAAGGCGGGTTTCCCCAAGTCATCTCGAATCGTACTGAATCCTTGTGCTCTCAGGTAAGTGTAGTGTGTCAATTTGATGCATGCCACCAAGGTTGTTGTTGTTGTTGTTGTTGTTGTTGTTGTTGAGCGATCTCTGCAGTTTCCGTGCCTGCAGGTTTTTATCAAGACCTCATCTCCATCATCTCCATAGTTGCAAATCATTTCACGATACTTCAGGAAGAAAACGTGCTTTGTCAGAAGCAGCTGGCAACATGAGAGGCCACGTCGCGATAGGCATGACAAAAAGCTGACAGGAGCCCGAACGAGGGTAATTTGCTGCTCAAGTTGGCAGCACATAGTGTCATGGCCGTTATACACTGCATCTGCCAGCATAACAGATCCGGAACGTTCACTACTAGCAACGCGCCAGCTGGAGCTGCCTTGTAGGTGGACACCTCCTTGCTGCATCTTTTGCGGACATCGCTGGCCACCTTCTGAGCTTGTACACATTACTGCAGCTGATACCCAAATCCTGGGTGACCTTGGTATACTAGAATACTACAGTTCTCAGGCTATTAGGCATTGTAGGAAATGCACACGTTGGCATCAACAATAGCAGCTATGGTGCGACAGCCTTCACTTGCTTTCGTTTTCGGGCAAGTCACGCGTGAGGCGAGGAGTGCGAAAGAAGGCAACAGCTTGCCGCCACCTATGAAGGTTCCTCAGGACTTCAGAGTGATGGCATGACAAGGGTCCTGCAAAGATTTTCGTGTGTTTGCCATAGCTCGCAGATTTTCAGGCGTCTTCAGTGGGCTTACCACTCGCATTAAATGACGTAGTTTTCAAGTTCTTCCTGAAAGCTGTTGGAAAGGTTTTCCGGTTAAGAAGGCTTCCATCTCTTGAAGGAGCTTGGCCTGCGGTAGCTTGCGGAATGGCTACACGTGCCATATGTGCCATGACCCCTAGCGGCCCTGCCGCTGCGGTTCTACTGTACCAGGTGCTAGCGCTACGTTCCGTCAGCTTCCAGGGGCTTCCGGGAGTGCTGGTAAACGAGTCCGGCAGGCTACGAGCTTGAGAGCGTAGGAGTCATCCTGAGACCAAGTCAGGACACTCTCAAGCTGCGGAAGCGCATCACCACCGTTGGAGCTTCAGTTTCTCGAGGTACAAGGCTGCCACTAGTGTTGCAGGAAAGTGACTCTTCGATCGGTCGTGACGTAGCGCGATGGCCGTGTTAAGGTCGTGGACCGTCTGGCCACTGGTGCGCGAATGACAGATGAGACTGCAGGCCGTGCATTATTGTGCAGATTGGGGAGCTACAGATCGGACTTTCTTTTCCGTAGCAGGTGTTTACATCAAAAGCTGCAGCTCTATCGGTCATGTTCACATATGCGAGAACTGTCTGGTGACGCTAGCTGTAGAACACGGCTATTAACACGACTGCGCGACTGCACCTTTAGTTCAAAACTGCATTTTGGCTTGTGTCCAGGTCCAGATACCATGGCGCCTCCAGAGGAAGAGATGCCTGGTGAGGACGCCAGTATCCGTGCAAGGGAGTGTTCTTTTGGAGCTTCTGCCACATTCAAGGCAAGGCTTCCTGGCATCCTACAACATCCTAATTCATCCTATTGCTTTCATCTCTTGAGGATGGCGAATGACACGTGTGACCTGCGAGAGCAGGAGCGAAGGGATAGGTTCCGCATGAACCTTCATTGCATTTGCTTATGCGGAGGTTCCTGGTACACTACACAAAGATTTGGCCTGTTGGTGAGGCACATTAGATCTGCTATAGAGGCAGGATAGCCATCCTGCCGATATCTGCCGATACTTAGTTGATTCCAATCATCTTGGCCCTGTTCGAAGATTCATTGAGGATGCAAGGATGTAGAACAATTGCACACTTTCATCTCATCAAGTCTGCATCAGAGTCTTGCTACTCAGTTCATCCCGTGAAGATGTAAGCAGTATTAAGCAGTTTCACCCTGCAATGCCAAGCGCAAAGCGGCACGACTTTGTGAACTGCGGTTGCAAAAGACTACATGACAGCTCATGTCCTGCAACCCTTTCAAAAAGTCATGCCGGTTTGCGTGACGACCAGCCCTAACATGGGCAGCAGCGCGGGCAGAAAAAAGGCATGCCAGAAGGTTTGATTGTGTTTTTGTTCGATTCATGCTTCGCACGCTTGCTGCGCTGAGATTCAGAGTTGGCTAACCTGTCCTGTATTTCACAGTGACCTGGCAGGGCGTGTGGTGCTGCAAAGCCTGCAACAGGGAGCAGCAATGCAGGCAAGCACACCGACAGGTTTCTTGTGCAGGTTTGCTAAAATTGCGATCCGCGCTGGAAGTTGGGGTAGTGAGGCCTTCATCATATTAAGTAAATCCTGAAGAGCAGTCATCTCCCATCTGGGTGTGTCGGGACTAGCTGCCAAGAGCAGCCAGCTTTTGCAGGTTCCAAAGGCGGTGCTCTTGCGGATCAGGCGCACAAGTTTTGTTTTTTGACCAACCTTGCATCAGAGAACCAAAGTCACTTCTAGGTCAAGCGCGGCCAACGCGAGTCCAAACGCTTCAAAGAGCGATGGCCGCTCGCCAGATGTCAAGTTGCAGTTTGAGAGCATTTTTAAAGCAATTTTCATGCCAGGTGGGACTACTGTGACAAGTACGGTAAAGGGTTCTACGATCCGCATCGTCATGAGCAGCGCTTCTTGGAGGAGCGAGAGTTTCAAGATGAAATCTTGGGCTTAACTCAGCGCCCTCAGAGGACTTCATGAACTTAGAGAAGAAGCGGACAGATGCCGGGAAGAGCAGCTACAGCCAGGGACTTGTTTTACATGCGGCAAGATAGACTCCGCTCAGACACCGCCAGCATGCACTTCAGAGTCCTGCGGTGTTTGTGTATGTACTTGTTGGTTTTTGCCGTTTTCTGTGTCGCCCTTGCAAGCGTTTGTCATGTCTTTTTGCACGCTTCTTTCTGCTTTCTCTCCCTGGCTCTCTCCCCTCCAGCAGATACCATCTTTGAAGTCTGCAAGTGGAAGGGCTTCATCATTTCAATCATCTATTTGGCCATCCCCTGGACTCGATGTGCACTCTGAGCTTTACCTGGCACTGAGGGCTGGCACTGCATCAAGGTTGTGTCATGGAAACCCGCCTCCTACTCCCGAGGGCTTTTCCCATAGATTGCTTATCGCCTCTGTTCGCGATAGGATAAGAAGGTTCAACAGACAGGCTCTGAGTCGCCGCGCCAGGTCTGAAAAACACTGCGAACATTGTTCAGCCTCACATGCTATACCTCATCTTCTGAACCCCCTTCATCGCTCATCACAGACCATAACTTTAGGGTACTTCGCCAACTTGCATGATTTGCCGCATGACCGGGTGACAACTGCTCAAACTTGTCTTTTCATGCGGTGCAGGTTCTGGGCATTTGTAGGATGTGAGCATATCGCGTGTCGTGCAGCTGGCTGGGCTGCCGCACCGTTCAGCTCTTCAAAGCCTTTGAGCTTGCCTGCTTACCACAGAAGTCGCTTGCTTTAAAGGAGCAGGCTTGGCGGAGGGCGTCATGACGGCTCCAGGCGTAGTCGGCAAAAACCTCAGGTTCTGAAAAACGGGGAAAACAGTACTTCAATGTAGATTGACTACAACAAGGGTGCCTGGAGTTGAGTTTACTGTTGACCAGCGGAGGGTGCTAGGTTTTCGATTTTATTCTCCCTTACCATTTCTTGCTGTGAAAGACAACCCAGCAATGTCCGCACACAGATCATAGATCCAGAGCATGTAGCCTAGATGAGTCAACCATCCTTGTCGTTTTCGTGCAACCTCCTGACGACGCTCCTGCTTCGTGCTGCATTGCATCAGGCTTTAAGACTTCTCTTCACTTCTCTTCTAGACATGCACCGCAGCTTGGTGTTCTTAGCTGGAAGCAGCCGAAGCGTATGCAATTTCACGAAGGCAGTCAAAGTCGCAGCCGACAAAGCCGAAGCTCGTTCCTCAGATTTGGTTGGGCATGAACTCTTGTTGGACTGCTTGGTGCTGAGCTACCATGACCCCAAGACTGGGACAAGGGGGTCACGGCTCCCTTGGCTCCTCCAGTCCGTGTTGACGATTTGCATCACCTGGCCGCTGTGACAGCTGGGCCAGCTTCAAGACGCACATTCGGGTTGGTTCCGACAGCCGCCCACATGGCGAGAACGACCTGGCATTTACCAGCGTCAGTCAAAGGAGGAGCAATTCAAACAACGGCATACCAAGAGGATCAAAAAGTGACAGGTTAAGCTGGGAGCGACGGAGTCGCGGGTTGGGACATTCTGCAAGTTTTCCCAGATCAAAGAGATGAAAAAGCGAAAGGGTCCAGTTTGCACGAGAGTCTGTTTTTTGGGGCATTGCGCCCCAAACAATCATTTTGCGGCAAAGGGTAGTGAGGGCTAGTGGAATTGACTCTACCAAGTGGATATGATGGAGTTGTTTCCAAAATGTGTCAGCACGAAACTTTGGGCCTGGCGGCACAGACCGGCCTGGCCATGCCCCTTCCAAAGCCTAAAACGGAATGCCGATGTGCCAAATCATGCGCAGCCTCTGTAAAAGAGCTGTTCCCGCTACTTTCGATGGCCTCACGGGGGTTTAGCGTCTTCTTGTCCTTATTTCGGCCTAAAACGGGACCCGAATCGAGCTGATGATGCTCGCGGTTAGGAAGAGATTTGGACGCGTTTTTGAGACTTTCCCCCAGCGCACGGATGGTTTGGGGCAATTCGGGCCAGCATCAGCACAATTGGGCCTTCGTTTCTCATTTTCGGACACCTCAAGATAATTGGGGTTTTCGAAAGGTGCTAGGACCTCATCTGTGCGGTGTCAAGAAGGAAATCGGGGGCACAAACAGCGCCATGATGCTCATGATGCTGGCTCTTGCTTTGAGGGCTACTTGGTCTTTAAATACGCTATAACCCCCAACAGACCGCTCAAAATACGTGCTGTGGGCAGTGTTTGTGGCTGTCAATAAGTGCGAGTGTGCTGGTAGTACATGCACTACATGACAAACATGCGAAAAGCTTTGCAGGCAATAATAGCAACACCACGGTCAAATTAATGTTCCTACACCGTTCTACAGTTTTGGCAATGCTTCAACAAGTAGACTTGGGCCAGTTTCTATACCGCTCCACAGTTTTGCACTCCTGGGCCAGTTTCCATACCGTTCCACAGTTTTGGCCATGTTTCAGCAAGTAGACTCCGGGGCCAGGTTTTATGCCGTTCCACAGTTTTGGCCCTGCTTCAGCAAGTACTGTATTCGAAACATTATCGGGCCACGTACCGTTTCAGGGGATGGGCACCAGACCGATCTGCGCAAATGAGAGAAGTTGAAGCCAGGGCAAATGTTGATGTGTCGTGCCGCTTACGCTTTCAGGAGCTGGGCACGAGGCCACTTTGAAGCACGCCGATGGCTGCTTGTATGGGGCCAGGTTCCAGGGCCCTGGACCTGGGCCTCAGGCCCTCGCCGATGGTGTGGAAATGGGTTTTTCCAACAAAACGCAGCCGGGCCCGTGGAAGGTGGCAAAGGCTCGGTATCCGTAATGAAGCCTTTGGGAGTGTCTGATCCTCCCTGTCCCCTCACAGATTTTCCCTTTGGGTGCACTTGCACGATCGAAGCAGGAGACACCAAACAGAGCCAGCTGTCTTCTTGAAGATGTTTCTCAGGCGCAAGTTGCAGCCGCAGCCGAAGCCGCCGGCGAGGAAAACGGATGCTGTTGAAGTCTTCGCCAAACTTCGCCAGTCAATGCTGCACGAGCCTCCTATGCTGGCATCTTCCAGGACGGACCCGGCGACGGCGACATCGGCGACGGCGTCGCGACCGCAGGCTCCTAGACTTTTCATTCGGCAGTTGCACCCACGACATGGCTGATATGGCATCTTACTGCCAGGAGGCGGCATAGGAGAAGACGCAGAGGCAAGAAGCGACGAAGGTCTCGTTCGAGATCAAGATCACGACGTAAACCAAAATCCGGTTCAAAGTCAGGCAAGGGTCCCAGTGGACGCAGTATACGCTTGTCAATACACAGGGTCGGAAAGCTAGGCAGGAGCCCCTCACAAAGTGCAGGGAATGCTGAAGGGCGAAGCATTGATGTTTGCATGTTCCCGCAGCCCTGCCTTTAGAAGGTGCTGAGAGCAGCTACTCTCAAAGCCAGCCGGAGGAGCTCTGAAGAGCTTCCCTCGCTTGCAAAACCCTGCTGCTTCAATCTGCGGAGGAGTCTGGTAGTGAAGACGAGGCCAGGATCAGGATATGTACCAATCTTTGGATCGAGATCTTGTATCCCTTGTGGCCTGTGTTCGAAATCCCACTGCAGCTACGGGTAGTTCGGCCTCAGCTCATCTTGCTGTCATGACAGGAAAGCGAACAAGATGAGGACTTGCCTTTTGCATTGCCATGCAAGATATCATTTCCAAGTCTGCTATGGGCTTGGAAGACCAAGAACAAGGGAAAGAGCCATGTGATGTACAGGACTGCATGTTGCAAGTACAATGGGCTTCCTCGAACGGAGGCTGCAGTACAACCATTACACTGAGATTGCTTAAACACTACTGACACCGAATATGTGGAGATTCTCCTTGGCAACGGCAAAGGAAGCACGCACTTAGAAATTGGAAGAAGCCCATCGGCCTTCCACAAAACTGCAAGTTCGTAGGATATGTAGCACCCTCCCTGATGAGTGGCAGGAAAGTTCTGTTCTTCTGCAGTCTACGTAGCTCTCCGTAATGTTTGTGCTGTAGGACAAGCAGCAGGCTGCCAAAAAAGCAGCAACTGCAGCTGCGAGGAGCTGAGTTTCGAGCGGACTGCCTCATGTGTGGATGGCTCTCCAATGGTTAGGGGCAACAGCTCAGGAAAAGGCACTTGCGCAAGCTCAGAAGGCAGCCTTGTTGCGCAAATTCTCGTCCTCGCAGTATGGCTTTCAGCATCACGCAGGGAGAGTGTCTTTCGGGCCATGATGATTGACGCTGTATGCTGCTTTCATGATAGCGTGACTAACATTTGTGCTTGCTCTGCCAGCTCCTGCTGTGCTCCTTGCCCGGTACCGTGCTCTTGCAGTCTCGTTAAAGGTTTCACATCTTTCTCGGCTTTACAGCCTTCTGGCTCCGTGACCGCCCGGCGTTTTCAGCCTTTTGCCTCCTCGGCCACTTACAGGGTTGGGACAGATCGGGTTGGCTCTCTGTTGAACACCAACCAGTCCTGTGCAGAAAGCCAAGCCGTAGTTTCCTTTGAGCAGCAAACAAACTCGAGGTTGCACGTTCTATCTTGTGGATACGGTTTCGTGCTTGGCGCCCTGTCAATTCAATCAACAATTCAACCACAAGCTACGCAGTGTGCTTTCTTTGGCTTCGAAGAACCGGAGCAGCTTCAATGACTGCTGATTCAACCGAATCGAAACCCAAGCAGCATGCTGGTCCCATTGAAATGCCAAGCATTTCATGGATCGGGAAGGAAGCCCCGAGCTCAGAAATCGGGATAATCGCGTCGCTGACCTAGCTGCTAAGGTAAGCCTCCTAATTGGATGACCCATACGCCTCCTGCTCAGCGAATGATGACAACAACGATGATGGCATCCAATGTACCTCCAGCTTTGGAGGTGGTGCTCAGAGTGTGAATGCATTCAAACAACAACTATGCGCTGTAGATTTCTCAGTCTAGCAGAGTGAATTTCAAGCAAAGCAGAGACAGACTGAGCCATAGTAACACAGGGATGAACCCACTGGTCTGGCAACAACGCAATGCGCAGTTGCTCCCATTACATCCCATCCGATGCAGGCTGTCCGCGACGCCGTGAGCGAAGAGGAAGGACGGCAGCGTGTGCAGGCAACGTGCGCAAAAACAGCACCAGTGCGGCCTGCCCTGTCTGCGAGCCATTCGACTACGACGTGCGAGGTCCAACAAGCAGTCGTTGAACTTCAAGCCCAGGCGCAGAAGCGGAATCATCAAGCTCTTACACAGCTGCAAAATCATGCTCCGCTAGGTCGAGCAAGAAATCACAGCGAGGCTGTCTGAAGCGAAGGCGGATGCGATTTTTAAGCTCAACTGTGCACATGCTTAACATCACGTCATTCGAGCTGCTTTTGCCAGTGAACGCCTTGCCTTCTGATTAGGAGAAGCTATTGGCGGACAGGGTTGTGCGACTGCAAGAAGCTGAGGAAAGGCTTGACCAGGCAGGCGGCTTGAGCGCCAAGAGTCAGAGAGCGTTCGTTTTATTCTGTGCTGGCTGTAAAGAAAAAGACTGCCAAACCTAAGATGTGCAAACCTTTCTGAATGAGTACTCTGCTGTCGCGCTATGCTGCCCTCGCAGGTTTTCGCCTGTCGACTGAAAGATGTACTTGCCCCAGCGGTGCCGTTTCACAACTTGAGCTTGAGCGTGACGGAGATCAGACAAACGGGTTAAGTTCAACCATATTCAACCCGTAATAACAGGCCACAGTCAACATCCGCAAAGCCATTGAAGCAAACGTGGAGGAGGCCGAGCCAGTGCAAGAGCAGGAAGGACTATGACGGAGTTGACCATGTTGCCAGGGCCGCAAGGATCTCGAAGCCAAGGCGCAGAAGGCAGATCTCTTGAGAAACCCTCAAGCAGTCTGAGGGTGAACATATGTAAGCAGATTGAGAAGCAGCTTGTTGGTACAGCATTGGCAGTTGGCCATGGCGTGGCAGCAGGCAGTGAAGGAAGCTCGAGCCAAGCAGGTCGATGGACATGTGCGGAGCTTGTACTTCCTTGGTTCACTTCATGATCTTACTGATCCATTAAGGCCGAGAGGATCCAACAGGCCGAGAAGCGGCTGCAAGATGCAAAGGCATCTCTTCTTCGCATTTGCCTTCTGTACTGCAGGTAATCAGCTTTTCATTTTACCAGTACGTGAGCCCGCAAGTCTGTATAGGAGGTCACCGACCTTCTCATATTTCTTCCACAGGGAACATTCATCATAATTCAATCGCTGCCGCGAGTGCCGCGTCTGGGGGCGAGCGGTGGGTCGACATCGGAGGGTCGACATCGGAGTGGCAAGTGTGGCTTTGATTAGTTAGTTTCGTGCGTTGGCATGAGGAAGGCACCGCTTCCCGATTGGAGCCGTCGAAGCCAATGTCACTGACGATATTGCCATTGTATCGCCATAATTTAACGAAAATGGGATAGCTGCACGAATCTTTCAGCCCACAAGATGATGGCACAAAGATGCACGCAGCCAGTGTGTGCTTCCATGGTCTGTGTCTGGCAGGCGAGGTTGGCCAATCTGGGAGGCAGCACCTCCAAAAGCAAACGCAAAAGTGCAGAGAGAGGCCAGTGCTGCATTCTACCGAGCCTGCATTTACAAGCCAATTTGATGCCACCACTGAGGCAATACTTCGGATGATGCCAGCGAGGAGGAAGACGACGAGGAGGAAGAGGAAGAGGAGGAAGAGGAAGAAGTTGGCTTCCCGTCTGCAAGTGGACAGCAGCATAAGGCAATAGCTCTCATGTTCTCTGCAAGGGCAGTGCAGACGCCCCACTGCCGAAAAGTGCTTGGTGCAATCCCTTAGGTTCAGATGCATCTGGGAGCGGCTCAGACTGACTGGCCAAAACAAGCACCTGCTCTTCACGGAAATCCATGTCTCAATGTAGGATTCGTTGATTTGAAGGGTAAGTACACAAAGCCACCCGGTCTGTGCACGAGGAGACAGGATTCAGTTGTCTTTGGGTTTAGGCGTTACCAGTGAATCGCGGCAATATAGGTCAGGACTTGGACCAGCGGATACATCACTGGTCCGGCTTTCCGAGCTCTCCCCGTTAGGTGCCATCCGCAACCTTGCTTGTCAATTGTTCTAGATAGTAACTATGACAACTATGAGGAGGAGTAGCGGCAGTGATACTGCTTCAAACATCAGCAGAGATAGCATTCCTCCCGTCCGTGACGACTGCTGCTGTACAGATCCTGTCCGCACCTCACTTTGAAGGCTCTGACCCGAAAACGCTCCGAAGGCTACAACACAACAACTGCCTAAACAGCTGATCCATCACCTCCCTAGCGCCGGAGAAGGAACATATGCCACAAAGACATGACATCAGGGTACGACCAAAAAGCAAGTTACGACAAGAGACACAATGCCGAGGGGACAACACGGCGACATGACAAGTAGAAAAGGCACACAGCGCTACACCCGTCACATCATGGCGCATCACGGTGCCTGTGGACAGCTCTGGAACACGAGCAGGATCCGAGGGTGTAAATGCGATGACACTTACAAGGGTCGGGATCGCAACTGTCCGATTCTCGCAACAATGGCCCTCTTCGTGCGCGGAGCGCAGGCAGACAACAGGAAACTGTCAAATCTTGCCAGAACCTTTCAATGGGAAGAATCCGGTCCAAAACCCAAGAAAACTAAAGCAGGCTACACGCTCTCACATCCTAATGCGGGATTCCCCAAGACCCCTGAACCGTGAACACTCTGAACCTATGAACACCCAAAGCCTTCAACCATTAAGCGAACCTTTGTGCCTATGAACGTCTACTATGAGTAGGTCAAGATTGGCACGATGGTGATTATTTTTGCTTACAGCTAGTGCAACTTGTACTGCTACTATTACAGTCACTACCACTACTACCATGGCAGGCCGATACCACTATCACTCTTGTCATTACTTAAGTATCTTGTTATAGTTGCGGCTTAAGGGGTTGGATCTGCTCATGCTTCGTCGGCCGATGCTAAGGAGATCATAATAATATTGGCGATTGAATCGGCTATGCTTTTGGAATTGGCTGTGTTATGCTGTGTTTGACTCGGTCGATTTCTGAACCAGTCGTGTGGTTTTGGAATCAAGGCTGGTTCCTGAATCCAGTACTGCTGCTGCTGCTACTATTAATACTGTTATTATTTTTACTACTACTGGACCAACTTCACAGCGTGAGGGTTTGGAAGCTCCTGACGTTGATCTTCTAATTGTTGTTCTGATGCTTTGTCGCTTGTTGCGTCGGCGGCTCACTTATTAGTGTTAAGGGCACATCATCCACCACAAGGGACCTCAAAAACAAACAACCAGCCTGGATTTTCCCAAGGGCTACCTACTGCGCAATGCTCGGATCCTCGCCCTAGCTCTTGGAAGAGCCTACATGACCGAAACATCCATTCTCACACATTTTCCAGCGATGGAGCAGCCACGCGGTATGCAGCCACGCAAGTCCAAAGGCATGCTGACGCCAGCGACGTGAATTGGACAAAGACGTTTGGCTTCCTGAAGCCAGGCATCTCTGTGGCCATGATCATCGGAGCAGCTTCCAGCAGTGCTCTGTGCTTCACGGCAACGAGGACACCTGATTGGCACGTTGTGTCAAGCTTGCTTTTGATGTACGCTAAGTTGATTTTTCACTCTGACCTCAAGCTTATCCCTTGCCTGTTTGCGATGTTTGTTGATTTGCGTTTCCAAAGCTAGGAATGCAGACTACCGGATTGAAAGGGCAGGTTCCATGGACGCGGCCTCGGTGGACTTCAAGTTCAAATGAAATTGGTACCGTGCGATGACGATACCACCACCTGCTTCCTGCGAGGCTGCTGCTAGCAAAGTGATGGCAACAGCAACAGACGATTTTCCAAGGCGCCATCGCCAGATCTACTTGTGTGCAATCTTTGCGCATCGCTGTTGATGATTCAATGGACCTTAGATGCATGTGAAAGTTGCTGTGCAGCATCTGATGCGTGTAGAACTCGCAAAGTTGCAGGTTCAAAGCCTCACCGGCATGGCCCAGCTGCGCGCTGCTGGCTGGAGGCGCGATTTGAGGGCACGCATAGTTGTCAGAAGGAGGAGCAGCTGATCGTCCCATCAGATCGTACAGTACCGACTCATAGACAGGCATTTCAAGCGTGTAATTTTGCCGATGAAGGGGACGGGTGGAAAAGGCCAACCTGCAATTCCAGAGCAGCCAATGGGTATTTAGAACAGCTGCATCCGCCTTCCTATTGAGGGTTTGTGCATTTTGGGTCACTGCCTCTTCATGGCCAGCCATCATGGCACACAGTTGTAAAAGGCGAAGGCACATGCTCTGTTGTACTCGTTTTGGATATCTTTTGTTGCAGTTGATTGTGCAGCTTACATAGCTGCATGCAGCTCTCTGGCTGCTATTTCTGCGAGGCTTGACCTATGTGGTCCACCGAAGGCGGAGATACAAGGTCTGTTGCCGAGCGCGTCCATATCCAGGTGAAGATCTCAGCTATAGGATACAGTGCAAGCCTTGGATGAGCGCAAAGATGGATGGGATTAAGCCATTCTCCGAGATGGTCGATACGATGCTGATAGCGCAGCTGCATACTTTGCAGCACGTCGCCCTGACGTGTTTGAGAGCAGGACATTGATACATCACACCTCGCTTCTAACAAGTCTTGACGTAGCCAGCAGCCGCACAGAAGAGAAGCTTGATCAGCTTTCACCCTCCTACACACCCTGCATGAGCAATCGAAGCTTTTCACGAATCCAGTTGCAGGCTTCCCTCCCAATCGGATGGAAGCGTTCCTACCTGCTAACTATTCCTCTAAGCTGATGCATGTGCTCCAAATATCTCCAGTTTCAGTATGTGCGACTACGAGTGACGTGAAGCTTCTGAGATCGAGCGCGTTGATCATTTCAATTTCTCTGTCTGTAGCCCGATGGAGGATGACACCACAAAAAGAAAGTTAAATAACGAAGGGGAGGCGTGCAATCCCATCCGGACCAGGTTTTTTCCATCTGTAAACCTGTGCAGGACTTGTGGCTGCAAAACTGTGTCTACTGTAGCTTGTCCAACTTGCCTGTTGATGGCAGAACGTACCCCAAACGCACCTAAATGACCGCAATTTTTGTTGTGCAGGTTTGGCCGTGCATTCTGCGTTCACAAATTCATGTCAGCTTTCATTGCGCGTTCAGGCCTGTTCAAGGTGCAGTATTGTTTGACGGCAGCGCATGAACGACGCGAGAAGTTGAAGTGTTTGTTTGGCGTTCAAGGGCTGCTGACTTTGGATGCGTGCGTGGTCACAAGCATATCAGGAAGGCAGCGCCCAAAACACCCAGAGCAGGAAAAGGCATGGCTACAACTTACTTCATCCAACACGAGGACTAGGCCATGCCAGGACAGGATGGCCTAGAAACGAAAAGAGCTGGAGAGTGCAGACATCTACAGCTAAGGGACATGTCTCCCTCCCTCTTAGGCTAAACAGCAAAGCAAACTTGTGAAGTGATTTCGGATGTTCTGGCTTTGAGTTGTTCCATCAAGCTGTTCTGCCGGCGTCTTCCAGGTCCATGGCTTGTCACCCTCCGAGCAGCTGAGCTCATCGGGACCAGTTTAGGGTTTGCGGCGCTTGCCTCAGATTCCCCAGCAGCTGACAGATCTAGCTGGTCACTTCTGAAGTCACTGCAACTTCATTTTTCTTATGCAATTTGCATGATCATACATGTCTTCTGTGGAAAGCACATCTGCTGTTTTCTTTGTTTTCAGTGAGGTCAGATCCTTTGCTTTTGTAGCAGGTGAAGCTGTTGCTTGACTCACAGACTGGGCAGTGGGAGGCTGACAAGTGGAAACCGCAATTCAGGAGTCTGGGAGTGTCATGAGGAAGCCACTCCAAACATGCTAGTCATATACCATGCTGTGTTAAAGAAATCTTCCACGGCTTCAGATAAATCCAGTACTTTAAGAGCGAGCATTTAGGGAGGTGAGGGCGGCGCAGGATTTTGGAACACAGCAGTATCAGAGTGCAGGGTTGGGTTGGGATGGATGGAGGGTCAAGTAATGAGCTAGTGCCAAAGAACCTGTCCCCTACTTGCCTGGTAGGCCATGAGTGCTGAGCGCGCCCGTGAGCTCACAGATATCCTGACACGTCTTGGGCCGACCTTCATCAAGATTGGACAGGCGCACAGTGGGCTCCGAACCTAAAGCAGATCAAGCAGCTTCTGAGCTCACAAGCCTCTGCAAATAAGTGCTTCCTGAGGAGAATGCATCATGGGGAGAAAAACCTGTATGCGAATGGATAAGCCAAATATCTTAGAAGCACATCAAGAGTTGAGACGCCCAGACAACGGCTGCAGATTTGTCGGTTTAACGTATCTTGAACCTGTCCAGCTGATCTTGGACCGAGCATCGCATTACAAGAGCAAGCTGAGCACTCTCATGCGGCCACTCCCTGTCAGGTACCGGGTATATGAAAAGGAGGGGAGGTGGTTAAGATGTGTTTCATGCGCACCATAAAATGCCAGAAGCACCTACACCCCTCATAAGGCTTAATGATGCGTAAAAGGCCCTTGCACTCCTCACAGATGCAATCTTCTTCCCAATCTTGGACAACTTTCCAACTGCGCAGGCGCTGTCCATCCGGGCTGACCTGCTTTCTCCAGCTTATTTAGAGGCTTTGACAGAGCTTCAGGACTGCACAATCTCAAGGTGGTTTTATCTCCTTGCATTGCTTCACAGCTTGCTAGGTCCGCCAGGTTATCGCTCACAAAAGGTTGCTGGCTGCAAAGTGACTTTCAGGACAGGGTTCCGCCTTTTCCCACTGCTCAAGCAGATGAGATCATCGAGTCTGAGCTAGGTCGGCCTGGCTCCTGGCAGATGACTGAACACAGTTTCGAGTACTTCACTGCTTGAGCTGTTAGCATAAAACCCACTGGATGCAGTGTGGCGCCGCAGCTACAGTTGCACGTGGATCAAATGGCTTGCCTGATCAATTCAAGATGCAACCTTCTTAAACCACGAGCAGTGAAGACTTCTCTCTGTTGTTTCAACTATTCAGCCAAAGCTTCACTGGGGTCCGGGGCTTGCCAACACCTCGCAATGCTGCATGCAGATCAGATACATGTGCCATCTGGAAGCGTAAGTTTTGATGTTGGAAACTGCAGATCCTTCATGCCAGATGCATGGCCACAAAGTGCAAGGCCAGTTGGTGAAATCTTTGAAGAGATTTCGCCAGCCCCGATTGCTTCAGCATCCTTGGGTCAGGCACAATGCTGCTGCAACGCAAGAACATACATTTTGTGCGGGGTCATGCCGCCCATGTGACCTTGGTCAGGTTTACAAGGCAAAACTTCGAGACGGCCCAGAGGTTGCCGTAAAAGTGCAGCCACTGCCTGATAGAAACACAATAGACCTGCCTGCTGAACCGCCAGTGACGCTTTTTGATAGAAGGATCTCATCTTCTTGGAATGAGGCGACCTGGCATGGAGGAGGTTGTCGCCCTTGCCGACAGCCCAGTCTAGTACTTTGGTCAAGAACAATTTTGAAAAAGCACCGCCGCGTATCTTGCATGGCCTCTGACCGCGAAAATGAGACCGAGGACCTCTACTTGTTGAAGCTTGGGGCTGGGCCGCTTAGGCGCACAGCTTGCTTTTCCTGGCTGTGCATCTACAGCGGCTTGGAGTAGGATCAAAGGACAACTTGTATTGAAGCAGCGAAGACGATCCATGAGTCATCTTTGGGATTTCCCAAGAAGGTGGTGTGGCTTGTGCACACTTTTCATCCTAAGATTCTGGACAATGTGTATGACTTCTCGGGTCTTGCTCACAGAGGTTTCAGGGTCCGAAGTGTCTTTGTGGCATGGAGAAGGACAGACCGAAAAGGGGTAATGCTGTCTACAGGACGGTGCTCAACGTGACAAGAGCTGGACTGAACACCGACATTGCTGGAACGTCAGCGACTTGAAGATGCTGCGCATTCCCTTAGATCCCTGGTCATCCTGGTGCTGTGCACGTTGGCGTTTGTGTTGTGCCCATGTAGAAGCTCTGCAGGGTGGATGAGTGGGGCAAAGGCTTCGTTGGAGAGCTTGACTACCGAGAGGAGGCAGCGTTGACCAGAAGGCAACTTGACTTCGAATTTCGGCGCATCTGACTCAAGGCACGCAATGCGTTGCAGTTCCAGCAAGACATCGAAAAGACGCCTTTGGCTGGCACGGTCAGCCCGGCAGTTGCTTGGCTGTGCGGCCAGGAGGCACTGGCCAGCCGCTGTCAATCTGGCATCATGAGAAACTGCCAGGTCTTCGCTCCGCCACCAGTAGAAGCATGTTCCAGCGCGAAGGTCTGTGATGGAGAGCACACAAATGGTCTGCAAATTTACATTCGAGCAGGTTCTTACGACAGAGTGGGTTGTTGGCGAGCGCTTGGAACAAAGCCAAGCCGAGGCTGCAGAAGAGCAGAAGTCTTGAAAGTTTGATTTGTCATGGCTGCGAAGCCGCAGGATGTGACAAAGCTTTGCTCCATAGCCATGAACACCTATCTCACCATGATGCTTGAGACCGGGCTTCTTCATGCGGACCGGGTGATCGGGTGATCCTGCACAGAGCCGTATGTCGGCAGAAAGACATGATATTTCCTTAACGTCGAGTCGCTTGTAGGACCCACATCCAGGCAACTTGCTGAGAACAGTGGATGGGAGGTCAGAGGGCAGCTTGTCGCTCAACTCGATCCAACTCGTGTCGCTTCTGGTCTCACCTTGCCAGGCTGTGCATCCTTGACTGGGGCCTCGTGACCACCCTCGATGCAAGCTTCCGGGTGCGGAGTGGTGCTATAAGCTCCATCTCTTGACCGTTCAGGTTACAATCTAGTAAATGAGTGGCTTGAGCGGCCTGGATTCAGGCAAGAGACCCATGCCCCTTCCAATACCTACCCACCCACCAAAGTCAGAGCTATGTCGGGCCTGTCAATTGGCTAATGTTTTTTGGGGATGGCCTCATCACTCTGGAACAGCCACGCAGGTGGCATACATCGAGCACATTGCACACTTAGTGTCTGGCGCTGGATCCTTATGCAGCGTGTGCAGCACAGCAATCCAGGCCAGCCACAAAGAGCGCCGAGGACTACGAACCAGTTCCATCAGACCTTGTTCGCATTGGCTTCGTGCCGGAGGGTATGGAGGCAAGTTGGCTTGCGTTTGTGCGATGGGATATGGGGATCAATGCGTCCTTCTGTTTGGTTGCAAGTCGAGGCAGGCTGGTGCACGACATGGGTTCTGAAGCTACGTGGTCAGAACATGTTTCTTGCGCTCACTTGTGAGACTGCACCGCGTGCGCGTGGGTTAGGATTGCTTGAGCGTGATTGCTAAAGTAGGCTAAGGAAGCTTGGTTGTGTTTTCCTGGGTGGTACTATGGGTCAAGAACTCTGACCAGCGAACATGTAGCAGGGCGCTAGCGTGCTAAGCCCCTGCCCTACCATCTGGCTGTGGTTGCCATTGCTGCTGCTTTTGTGCATTTGCCTTCCCAGCAGCCCTCTTTATGCTGGAAATCTTCGGGGCTTCGAACTTTTGCATTGGGCCCAGATGCGTTAGGGAAATGAAGGGCCAAGGCCTTGCTCTGTCAGTGGACAGATCGGCGCGTACATTCCAGCGCAGAAGACCGTCATTGTGCCCCCTCCAATCCTGTCCGCGGAAGACTCTTCGACTGAGACCCCCGCAGACCCAAGAAAAGCCCCTGACCAGCACTTTCAGAGACCTGCATGGCGCATTCGTGCACATTCGCAGAGAGGCGACATGGATCGTCTTCGGGCGTGCGAAAGTCATGGGGGGGATGTCGGGATTTGGGAATCGTTCCGTGTCCGTGGCACAGTAGTGCACGATAGTGCACGTGCCGGCCTCAAGTTGCAGCAGAAATTGCAGGAAATTGTGTCGTCAAGAATTTGGCAGGACGATGTTATCAAAAGCGAGGCCAGTCCAAGGGTGAAACCGTGGCTGCCTCTCAACAGCAGCATTCGCAAGTGCTTCCAGGTGGTGGCTACGCTAGCCCAAGTTTATGGCCAGTGGACATCCGGAGGTGGCGCGGCCCAAGCCCTGAGCTCAGGTCAGCTTTCCCTTCTCACCTTTTCATTGTTGTTGTATGTTGCAGATGGACGTGAACGGCCTCTTCAACGAAATTCAAGGCATTCTCAGGGGCTGAGGGCCCATAGAGACTCAAAGACATCAACTAGTCAAAGCCTGCGCAGGCTTGAGCCGTCGATACGGAAACCTCTTCCGTGTGAGCGGTTCTAAGCTGCCTTTACATAGACGTTGTTTCTCTGAGTGGCTTGCGAGTCTGCAAGCTGAGGCCACCGTACTTTTTCTACATTGCTCGAGCGTTTGCCGTCCTGGAAGGGATTGGGCTGAGTCCCTTCCCCAGTTTGCTGTGTCATGAGTCATAATGCCGCATGAATTTAAAAACTGGAGAACAAGTGTCCCGGAAGTGTTTGGAGCAGTGAGGTAGTCAGCTCCGCAACATCTAACATCATTTCATCCTTTCATATCCTTTCATTTCTCCATGTCGACCTGCACCCATCCATCCATCTATCCATCCATCCGTCCATCCGTGCATCCATCTATGTTGCTAGCTTTCTAATGTACTTCCGTAGTGTAGAATCAAGACATCCTATAGTCACCACCTCCACGGGAAAAAAGCTTGGCAACGCTGTCTGGGCGCAAGAGAAAGTCACGTGAGAGCAAGGCGGCCACCAAGACGGAAAATCTTTTCCCATTTGCTTCACCGCTTCGCCTTCGAGATTGAGTCACTGCCGCATTATGGCATCGGCAGCTTACAAGCACGGACATGCTGCAGGTGCACGAAGGCGCTTCCGCACAATCGCTTCCGTGCCTGACACTGGTCTCACTCGTCTCATACATCAACATCATCCCCCACAATCCAAATACGCGGTAAGGACGCTTCACGCTTGAGTGCTGTCCAGAGGTCGGAGTCTGAGGACGCCCTACGCGGGAACCTCGGGATGCGCCGGGATATTTAGAGGGTTGTCAATTGCGGGCAAAATTTGAGGACCTCCACACCGCACGGGAGCGTTCGGATACTCTGGGAAGTTTGAGGACGCTCCACGCAGGAGCGTCTGGACGCGGCGTGGAACAAAGAGAGGGTTCTCGATTCCGGGCGAAATTCGGAGGATGCTCCACGCGGGAGGGCGGAGAGGCGGCGACTGCCGCTGGGCATGCCCTGCTCTTCCAATCTCATTTGAACATGCTACATTGTAAGGGAACCTCGCGGGAAAAACCTCAAAATAAGATCACATCATGCCATTAGCCTCACACCCCATCCAATTCCTCAGGAAAACCGTGCAAAAACCATCACATCATCCCATTCACAGCATCCTATCAATCAAACATCAAGCCATCCTATAGACAACCACCTGCACAGTACAAAATCAACTTCGCAACAGACTGACGCACCATGAACGCTGCTTTCTTCGCAAGACACCAGGCAATGATTTGGAGTATTCCATTGTCAACGAATGCCTGCCGAAGCCTTCCAAGGGTCAGAAGCATTGGGAGCTTGTAGCTTGGCAGTATGCGCACTTCCATAAGCGCTATCTCTGAGGCCGTACGTTGCGCAGAGATTAATCACCGACTCAGACGTGCGGATAAACAATGCATGAATCCCGGACATGGTTTGTTTATTTAGAGCATTTCAGGGTGCGCCTTGCTGAGATGGTAAGGCATTGACCTCCTTCATCTACGGCAGCGAAAAGGGCATGGCGCCCAAGAGCAGGGCACAGTGACATGAAGAAGTGAGATACCAGAAATTCCTGACAGGCAGTTTGCTCAACAAATAGCAACGTGAGGATGACAACGAACCCATATCTCAAGATGCCTTGAATCCTTCCTTCTGCCGCAACGCGCTGGCTATGACTTGCTGAAATAGCATCTTACAAGTATCAACACGCCAGTATTGCTTGCATTCCTTTGGTAAATGGATGTCCCATTCGCAAGGCATCGACCGCATGCCCAGTGCAGAACGTCACAAGCTTACAGGGATGCGCGCTGCAACTGACAGGTTCATGCCTGGGACTGTCAGGTCTGCGATATTTGGCAACGGGTTTTTCTTCATATGTGGTGCTGCCCTGAGTGGCTTCCCGAAGCTTTGGCTGATGGGAAAGCTGAACAGATAAACTCGAATAATATGGCTCTCCCTCTCTCTCTCTCTCTATGCCTCTCCCTCCCTCTCTCTCCCTCTCCTGTGAGGTTGCTGTGGTAGACCCTGAAGTGGTGCTCTGCTGTATCGTTGCAAGTGTCAGCATTCGCTTGCAGGGGCAACTTTAGCTCAGAAGTAGCCTTCACGGATTTCCACATATTTCCACGCGTGTTGAGCAAAGGCAGCGACTCGAGCGGACAATGGCCCCGCGGCCCAGGTGAGCAACGGATTGGTGATCACTTCATGCAGCGATGTGATTGTGGCGTACAGGAGGCTGCTGACCTGGCAGACCAGCTGGGGCCCCAAATGCGACAATCCAGCAACACAGCTCAAGGTCATGAAATTGGATGCTCTGCTCTGGCAGGCTGGCCAGTCTGGTGTTGGGACGCGTTCCAAACGAAAGCCATGGGTCCGGCGAGGCCAAGATTTGGAGTGTTTGGGAATGCTTTACGCCCTCAGAGATGCATGGAGACGTGCCCTGCAGAGGACTCGCACAACAGCGAAAGGAAGGTTGCTCCAGCTCTTCAGGACCCGGCGAAGCTCTGTCTGGTGAGTAGATACTGTGGGCCAGTAACCAGTAAGGTATGGAAGCTAGAAAGGAGACAGTGCTTCAGCTGAGATGTGCCTTTCTTTGCGGAACCACTTCCTGTAGAGAGGAAGCCAAGCAACATCATGCTTCAGCTAGTAACAGTCGTTACTCTTGTGGCAGAATCTGCTTCTGGATGAACTGGCCAAGGCAGGCTGGCTTGTCAGTCCTGCGACTCTATGCGGGTAGGACCATAGCATATGATAGAGCAAAATTGCGCTTCACAAGACCAAAGATTTGCTTTGTTGAGAGAATTTTGGAAACTTGAGGTTGTCGGTGCCAATGCCAGACAGCTGGCAGCATCTTGGAATCTTCCGGGGGCTGGAAGCCTTGGCCCCTGCCTCAAACTGGCCTGTTCTGCCCTGCCTTCGTCCTTTCGCTAGTCTGTATACCTGGAAGCTTGCCCATGCCTCCACTCAGGTCTCATGACACCGGACAGCACTGACAAAAAAGTACTGGCAAATGTGCAGACCTCTGCGGGCGAAAGGTGCTGCAGATGTGCTTTGTCAAATTCTACATGTAGTCTCTCTGAGGCGCAGGAAATTGCAGACCTGGCAGAACCACAGGTCTAGCCCCCAGCCACGCTTGGCAGTGGATCGTGCCGCATCTAGACCAAAAACTCTCTTTATACTACTAGGAATCAAGAATGGGGCATTTGGGTTTGCCTGCTCGCCAGGGCGTGACAGTGTGAGTCCAAATGTTTTTTGTTCGTGGTACCGAAACATCAAAACCTTCTAAGAATAAGCGTGCTCAGAAGATTGGGCTGGACTACACTGCATCTTTCAGGATGTTAGGTACTGGTGTTATCCTCGCCATGCAAGATTCCACTCTCCACCGGAGGCGTCAAGTAGCTTTTGTTAGCTGCTGTGTCCAACCCTCAGAGCCAATCCTTTTCCCGAAGTTACCGTGCCAACTTCCCTTACCTACTTTGGTCTATCGACCAGAGGCTACAAAGCTTGGAGACTTGATGTGGTCATGGGTACGACCAGGATCGACCAGGGGTGTGAATAAGTCTGT